ATAAATAAAATCTTTAAAAATAAATAAATAAATACAATCTTTAAAAAAAAAAAAGAGCAAGGGTCCTAAAGCCAGACCGCCTGGGCTGGAGCCGAGCCCCACCATATCCCAGCTGTGTCACTTGGGCAAGTCCCAGCTCTGTCTGTGTTGCAGGGATGATGCTAACAGCCCCCTCAAGCAGCCCCACGTGCTTGGCTTGGCTCGGGCGTGCGTCCTGCTGTGATGACCGCATGGTTAACAGCACTGAAGATGGTGCCAATGGGCACGATGGCCGCACTGACTGAGCACGTACCAAATGTGCGAGCAGAACATCAACCACTCTGCGCTTGTTTTATTTAAATCTCACGGCTGCAGTCTGAGCAGTCACGATTCCCACTTTACAGACCAGGAAACTGAGGCCGGGGGAGGCTAAGACTGTCACCAATGCCCATGGCTCCCACAAGCTGATACGTGGTTCGGGAGGCACGGGGGCCAGCTCTGCCCACCTGCCCGCAAATCTCCTAGGGGGCTGCCCACCCGCCCGGCCCACTCACCGGAGGTTGTAGGTCCGGAGGTTGCGCTGCCGCCTCTTGGTGGCTCTCAGCTTGACAAAGGTGCGGCCCGTGGGGTCGAAGACGCAGAGGACGGTGATGCAGACACTGAGGATGACCACCCAGTTGCAGACGACCATCCCTGCAGGGCAGCAGTGGGAAGCAAGAGGTGGAGGTGCTGGCGGGGACCTCCCTGGCTCACCTGCTCTGCGGAAAGGGGCCCTGGCGCCTCCCTATCATCATCCGCTTCTGGGGCCCAAGAGCAAGGCTCAGAAGCCCCTGACCCCAGCCTCTGGCCACCTGGTTGCCCCGTGCTGAGCCATGACCCCAAGGCCCAGCCTGGGTACGGAGCAGGCAGCTCTGGGGGTTTCCAGTGAGGAGCTGAGGGGCCCTCCACTGTTGCCCACCCCTCCACAGCAGGTTCCCCTGAGGGCGGGTGGCCGAGCTCGGGAGGAAGCCCACAGCCTCAGCCACCATCCTGCCCGGCATCCTCACAGCAACCGTCCCCCTTGGGAGGTGCCTGAGCTTCGTCCTCTCTGAACGGACCCCGTCCCGGCCACCACTGGGGCTGGCTGACATACCGAGGGTGACATTCTTGGCAGTGAGGTCGTTGCAGGAGGTGTAGTACTGAGTGAGCCAGACGATACCCACGATGGCATAGATGAACTCGATCACCAGGATGGCTGCGAGGAGAGCAGGGGCCAGGCTGAAGGACGGCCACGGTCGGCCTGCCCGGGAAGGGCCCCGGAGCCTCCGCCTGGCCCCTCGGCAGCAGGGGCACCAGACCCCCGCCCGCCCCCCGCCCCCGGCACAGGCCTCGTGGCAGGTAGGGCCCAGGGAGCGCGGCTGTCCCACCACTGCTCCGTCCTGCTCCGACGCACCCACCACCTGTTCTAGCGTAAGTGTCCTCAGGCCCCCCGACACCTCCCCGAGAGGGTGAGCGCAGGGGCGGATGATGAAGAGGCATTTCTCTTTTCTTTCAGGATTTTAGACTTATGTCCATGAACTCTGCTATCAGACGTATCTTAGGCAAGTTACCTAATCTCCCTGGGCCTCCGCTTCCTCATCTGTAAAATGGGGTGACAACGTCTGCGTTACAGGACTGCGGAGAATTAGATGAGAGAGGGTTCATCTCACGGAGACTGCTATTTCCCAGAAGGAGGCTCCAGCACTTGGGGCAGGAGGAGGGAGGGGCCCCCGCAGGCAGCAGCTGCTGCTCAGGCCAGGGGGCTGGGGGCACGGGGCAGCCTTAGAGGACCCAGCTCCAGAGGCAGTGCCCGAGGCAGCTGAGAGGCCGGGCTTAGGAGACAGACAACCTGGGTTCAAATCTCAGCTCTGACACACACACACACACACACACACACACACACACATACACATACACACTAGCCATGTGACCCTGAGGGAGTTATTAACCTCCCCGGGGAGGGGGGCCCCCAGATTCCTCATCTGTAAAGGGAGACCAATAATGGCTCCTCCCTCAGCTAACAAGGGAAGGGCTTAGCACAGCTCCTGGAAGCACGCGTAGGAAAGATGGGGAGGAGTGGTTGGAACCCGAGCCTGAAAAGAAGACACAGGCAGGCCCTCCAGGGAGCTGATCCAGACCCCTGAGGGGCTTCCGGGGAAGGGGGGCTCTCTTTGGGGGAGGATTTCAAAGTAGCAGAAGCCAGAGGTGCTTGGCCTAGAACAGGGGACAACAAACTTCCCCTGTAAGGGCCAGAGTAAATATTTTAGACTTTGCGGGTCCTCTTCTCTGTCCTGACTACTCAGCTCTGCCGCACTGTGCACGAGCAGCCAGAGACAGTGAGTACATCAGTGAATGAGTGTGGCTGGGTTCCAATAAAACTTTATTTACAAAAACAGACGGCAGGCTGGATGTGGCCCTCGGGCTGCAGTCTGCCCACCCCTGGTCTAGAACACAAGCCCAGTAAGTCCGCTGGTTCGCGGCTGGACCCTGGTGCTGGCCCAGGGCCTGGCCCATCGCATGTGCCCCACAAATGCTGGCCGACTCAGTGGTGGAGCACAAGGAGGAGGGTGGAGGTGGGGGTGGTCTGGAGCAGCCCCCACCCACGGCGGGTGGCCCTTACCCAGGCGCACGTAGAGCACGTACTGCATGGATTCGCGGGGCTCCGTGTAGAGGATGCCCCCGCGCATGCTCAGCCAGATAATGGCCATCTCAGCGATCATGCAGCTCAGCAGGATGCCTAGGTAGCCACGGCCGTGGTCCACCAGGTTGAGGGAGCAGGCCTCGTTTGGGTTGTAGACCAGGCCAAAGAGCACCACAGACAGGATCACAAACCTGCAGAGACGCACATGTGAGAGGGGGCCGGGCAGTCTGGGCACCTCCCATGGACCCTGGCCAGCCGGGACTCGGCAGCTAGAGGGCTTCACTGCTTCGGGCTCAGGACCGCTGTCCACCTGGCAGCTAATGCCTCTGAGGACACGGGCGGCCGGGGACAGGGAAGCGAGAGCAGGGAGCCCAGGTGCTGGCCGTGGGCGGGAAGCGGTGGCAGCCCTGCCCGGTGATGGCGCTGGGTCCAGTGGTGGCCAGGCAGGGTCTCTGGGCTCCACGTGGGCATCTCCCTAAGCGGTGGGTGCTCCAGACACCAACTGCTAGGAGCTGGGAGCATGACAGGGTCGGGACGGACGGCCAGAAAGCCTTCTTCCAGGCCTGTGGCACGGCCCTAAGACTCACCAGGTGGTGTGCAGGAGGAAGAGGAAGATGGCTGGCAGGACGAGGTCATCACTGCCCACAGACCAGCGCCGCCGGAAAACCACAATCCCGGGCATGGCTGGCAGCTCTGCAGAGGCTCAGCGGGCCTGGTGCTCACCTCCTGAAAGGCAGCAGAGGACCCTGTGGGCTGCCTGGGCTGCTGCGGCATCCGGAGCCACCACACTCCTGGCCAGGTGTGCACAGCACACCAGCATCTCTCCCAGGCCCCACGGCCCGGGTACTTCCAGGCCACTGGAAATGCTGATCCATGCCTGGGCAGGACCCACCTCCAACCCAATCCACCCTCCACAGCCAGAGACGGGCTGCGGCCTTACCCCTGAGGATTCTCTTGTCCCCAAGACTGGCACCAGCCCTTTGGAATCGGCTCTCCCTAGGGTTACTGCAATAGTAACTGATCACTTCCCTTAAAGACCTGGGTTCACCCCTGCCTCCCCCTACATGGGATGAGGGGAGCCCCAGCTTTCCTGCTGCCTTTTCTCAAGGAGACCTGGCCCAGTGCATGTAGTCCTTGGGGGTGGGGTGAGGGCTTCCCAGACCAAGCATGAGCCTGTTCCTCAGCACAAACCAAACAAGACAAGTAGAAGGCTGAAGACCTTGGGGAGGGGGGGAAGGGCACGCATGGATCTAGCAAGTATGGAGGCAGGAGAGCACCCAGCACATAGCAGGTGCTCAGTAAAGATGTGCTGAATGAGGTCTTCAGTTTCTTGCTTTGCTGGACCCCCGGGAGTATGCTCTATGCCTCGATTTCACACTCATCACAGTGCCCAACCACAGCTACGCCTCTTGGTAGGGAGGGACAGAGCTGGGATCTGGGGTCAGGGGCATGACTGGGCCCCCCCAGCCCCTCTGCTGGAAGGGCAGTGAGTAAGTCCTGTAGGGCATCCCATCCTCCTGGCAACCACAGCTCCCATGCCCACCCTGAGCCATGCAGCCTCTGCTGCCCGGTTCAAAACTCTCTGAAGCTGAATTCCGATCAGCCACAGGCAAGCTCAAGGAGGAGGGCCCAGGAATCCAGGGCCCCCACGCCCTAGAGCCCTAGGAGCAAGGGGAGCGCTGCGGGCCAGGAGGCTCCCCACACGGCAGGGGGGGGGTTGGTCTGGGAGATACTGGTGAGGGGCTCCAGGGTAGCCCTGCGCTGAACTGTGCAGAGGAACCCCTGCTGTGGGGGTGGGTGCCCTGCTGCTGGGCAGCTGCCCCCAGGCTCAGAGGCTTACATGGCACCTGGTCCAGAGGTGGGCGGCAAGTCCTCCTCTCCCCGGTGACGGCTCCGGGGAAAGCAAGTGTCCTCGGAGACCAGCATCACTCGGGAAGCAAGTGACCAAGTATCCCCCGGCCGGTGGGCACGGCGCTCAGGTCGGATGAGGGGCCATGGGGCCGGGTGGCCAGCCGGCATGTCCAGGCCGGCCCGTCTCGGTCCCTCTCTCTCTGGTGCAGCCACTTCAGCAGCCAGGCTGCTCCCTGCGAGCTGGAGGCCTGGCGGGCTAGCCTGGCGGGGTCGTGCCTACTCCTCCCCCCCTCAGGAAGTGATGTCATCCCACTCTCTCCAAGGAGGAGTCAGAGCGCGGATTGTGGGAAGTGGGGAGAAGGATGAAGAGCGCGGGAGCCGCGTGGAGGGGTGGCCAGGCGGGGGCGGGGGTCTGGGGCTCCAGCAGGGTGCGCGTCCCCGACCAGCGGCTGACAGCCCGGGACGGGAGGGGCTGGGACACCGTGGGTTGGGAGCCGGGCTGGGGCAGGGCAGAGCTGCCAAGAGTGGTGTTTCAGCCCCCGTTTCTCTACGGCCCCTCCCTGTCTCCAGGTGGCTCACCTTAAAAATACTGGGCTCAGGGGCCTCCTCACACGAACGGGATGACTGAGAGGTCAGGCCTGGGGGGGGGGGGGCGGCGGTCCCAGCAGGTGCGGCAGCTCCCAATCCCCTCTAAGCACTAATCCGAGGGACCCCCGCGGGGGTGGCTGAAGGGGAGTGTCGTCCCAGAGGGGCTGGAGGGGCGCGGGTCCCGCCCAGAACACCTTGTTCTCAGGTGCGCCCCGCGGAAGGCCCTCTCCCCAATCACCTCGAGGGGCACCCGCCTCTCATCCCCACCCTTCACTTCTGGGAGTCTAGACTGGCTAACGCTCCTTCAACTCACACGAGCCATTCACCTCACACCTGCAAACGCGCACACACAGCCCCGCCTGTGCACACGGCCCTGCCCTCCCCGCTCTCTGGCAGCAAGTGGGGAGAGCCTGGCTCCCGGCCGTGCAGACGTAGCCCGAGATGTGTCAAGACGCCGCAGAGACACGGCCAGTGGCGGCCTCTGCCCAGGCTCAGGGGGCGACCAGCCTGAGGCCAGCAGCCATGCTCGGGGCCAGGGCCCACCTAGATCACGTGGCAGGGCTCCTTCGGGCTGACCGCACCACACCATGCTCCTCCAGCCTGTCCCTGCGGCCAGCTCACCACTGCAGAATCCTGGGCACAGGGCTGGGTGCCCAGGCTGCCTGGCTTCAAAGCTGGGCCCCACCACCCACTGGTCGTGTGACTCACTAGCTGTGCCTCAGTTTCCTCATCTGTAAAATGTCGCTTGACCCCACCTGCTAAAGTTCTGGTGAGGACCGCAGGGGAGAACGTCTGCAGAGGCCCCAGACGTGCTGGATAATGCCAGGGACGGGCCCAGTGAGCGGGTGAGGCAGAGGACGAGCTTGAGAGCCCCGGTGGACCAGCCGCCCCTCCCCCGCCTGGGCTAGTGGATACTCCAGCTGGTCAACGACAGGTCACAGGGGTGTGGGATGGGAGTGACAGGGCCCGTGCTGCTGGGAGAGGCTGGGCCACTCCATTCCATGCGGACTCATCAATCTCAGGGCTGCTATTTTTAAGGGCCTGAAAGGCACCCTTTCTCTGAGACCCCAGCCCTTCACAAAGGGGGCCTGTTCCCCTGCTGGGATGTGATTTCATCCGGAGGAAATGTCTCAGGAGGGGGAGGGCAGAGGCTCCTTCCTGGTCTGGAGCTGCCACAAAGCACCTCCTCCCTTGGGGCACAGGGTCAACGCCCTCCAACAACGGCATTTGTAGGACACACAGCCTCCCCTCCTTAGCCCAGACCGGTGGCACCTCCAGGGCAGGAGTGGGGCCCCCTCCAGCAGGGGAAAACAGAGGCACTGCTGGGGGCCCCCCATGTCCCCTGGCTGGGTCCCCAGCTCAGGCAGGTCTGAATGGGGTGCCAAGAACCTCCTCACGTGGATAGTTTGACTTGAGTGGTCCTTGGGGGTCCCTTTCTGCCCCCATCCACAAAACCCCGTTTCCCTGCTGCTGATTCAGGCCCCCAAATTAAGTATTAACCATTTTGGGAGTTCCTTTCTAAAGATACAAAACTCTTTTTTAAAAATGCGCATGCTATCTCCTATTTTAAAAACCTTCGGTGGCTCCCCATGCCTGCAGGATAAAGTCCAAGCCCCCTCAGGCAGTGGCTAAGGATCTTAGTCTCTGGCTGGCAGGCTGTGCAACCCTGTTGCGGGTGCCTTGCCCTCTCTGAGTCCTGTGCCAGAGAGATACTCTCCAACCCCTGGGGATTCAGGACGTAGTCAGCTACAGGAACAGGACCTGCCTTCAGCCAGCCAGTTCCTTCCGGCTGGGGAGGCACTCCATCCCCTTCTCACACTGCCCCCACCTTTCTTTCCCAACTCCCCCCAAATCTTGTTGTCTCCCTAAAAACACCTCACTGGACAATTCCATGCTTTGCTTACTCCAGGTCCTCTGTCAGGCAAAATCCTACTCATCTTTGCAGGCCAGCCAAAAGTCATGGCCTCTTTGAAACCGTCCCTGACAGCACCCACCCCCCAACCCCACTCTTCTCAGGCAGAGCAGGCTGCTCCCTTACGGGATCCCAAGACCTCTCATCCCAGTGTAGCCTTGGGCACAGTATCTTACAGCCAACTTGCCAATTCCTGGCTGTCTAGCCCCACCCCAGCTCAATCAGAGCCCCTAAGGGCCTGGGTCTTGCAGCATTGTCCATCTGTGCCCCTGGGGTGTGAACACATCAAACCAGCCCCTCTCCTCCTGAGCAGCGTCAGAGCCCCAAACCACCACTCCAGCCCCCCGAAGCTGCTGCAACATCTCCTCTCCAGCCACAAGGACCAGAGACATGGCTCCTTTCCCTCTTCGCGCACATCCTTGGCTTTTTGGGAAATGTCCCACCCCAGTGCCTCCCCTGACCACTGAGGGAGAACCATCTTCCCCCTCCCCTGGCTCTCTTGACAGTCTGGGGCTTTAGTTTCTTGGTCTGCAAATCGGGGATAACCCCAGCCCTCAGAGGGCTATAGCAGGAACTGGCTGGGACACTGTCACCAAGGCCTGCACAGGCCCCAGTAGACGCCAAGGGTCTATTCGTGGGGCTGTCGTAATCGAGCTCCTGGGGGGCTCTCTGGGGACTTGTTGGCAGGGTGATCTGTGACTGGGTTCTGGGGTCTGGGCAGGTGCTGCTGATGCCCGTGGCTGGCTCCAGCTGGTAGGAAAGGGCTGGAACGAACAGGTTATAAGCCCAGACAGGCTAACCTGCCCTCACCATGGGCCTTGGGGGGTGGCTGGCTAAAGCACCCCAGGCTGGGCCTCATCCTCTGATCCTAAGGTCCCCTTGGGCGTGGCCCTGGCAGCAGGTTTTGGGGAGAAGGGCTCTTTCACAGTGGGTGCTAGCCAGCAGGGTGCCGAGAGCCCCCAGGTGAGGGAGGAGGAGGGCATGGCTGTCGTGTCTATCCTCCAGATGGCCCAGAGCTGGTGGGAGACGGGAGCGGGGCCCGGTCACTGGAGCCGGGCTGAGCCCAGCCCCCACAGGAAACAGGATGACATGCTGTGGGAGGCCCATCGAAGGCCACCTCCAGCTTCCAGGTCAGCCCATGAGTTCTCCCACCTGGCCTGAGCTGGCCCCAGGCCTCTGAGCTGGAAGAAAGGGATAACCACCAGGTCCAGGCTATGGGTCCTGCCATCAGGTGAGCACCCCCTATGCCCCAAGTTCTGGACTAATTACCTTCCACCCTCATGGCAGGCATGCTCTAAAAACAGACCGTGCCCAAGTGCTGGCTCTGAACTGACTGGCTGTGTGACCTTGGACAAGTTACTGACCTCTCTGTGCCTCAGCTCATTTCTAAAATGGGCTAAGAACAGTACCTACCTCAGAACTGTCACAGGGTTAGATGAGCCATATGCTGAGGACAGCGGCTGTCACACGGGAGGTGGCCAGCCAACGCACCCCCCGACAGCACTACTCCCAAAGGAGGCCCTACAGCTCAGAGGACCCCCCGCCCCGACTCCCCACGAGAGAGCACTCTCTCACGCTCCTGACGCATGACCCTCTTGGAAGCTGGCCGGTCCACATGAGATCCGTCCCCAAGAAGCCATCAACCACATGTTCCGTTTCAAACAGAGTCATCCGTGGCTGGCCCTCCACCTCCCATGGCAGGGTCCCCACTACGGCTGGCAACAAGGCCGGGCCTAGCCACATCTAGAACTGCCAGTCCCGGACCAAGAGCAGCGTCCCCAGGCCAGAGTGTCACTGCCCCTCCAAACCTCAGTTTCCTCTTCTGGACAACAAGGAGCCTGGGCTACCAATAGGAGGCTTGTGGTTTTGTACTCATATTAGTATTTACGTGATTTCACAACAAATGGCTGTGTGTGCCTTATAGGAACCAAAAACAATGAAGAGGGGGAGTATGAATTTAAGAACGAACACACTTCAGCACAAAAAATAAGGAAATTAAAATAGAAGCGGGGGGGAATCGGTTGCACACGTGTAAGAAGACATAAAAGCTCTCATAGGAACCATGTGTAAAACTATTATTAGACTCCGTGCTTCCCGGTGGCCAAAGTGAAAAAGGTAACTGGGTAGTCTGTAAGGTCTCTTTGAGCTCTGCAGGTTGTTTTGATCCTCGGTTCCCTGAGGGGAGGGCCCAGGACTCCCTCCCTACCCCACAATGAATGGGATGCCCCATTTGGAAGGGCTTTGAGATGGGAAGGTGCTCCAAACAAGGTGAGAGGGACAGGTGCCTGCTGCCTGCTAGCTTGGTCAGATTCAGATTGTTCCTGTGTTGGATGCTGGAGCTCGTCTAGTCTCAGTGCGGAAGGGCGTCTGACCTGGGGGGATGACTGCAGTGCGTCTGGGCCCCGGGGAGCCTGCAGGGTGACTGGTGGCCCCCAGAGGCTCCATCCTAGCTGGGACGGGCTTACCAATGGGCCACCCCCTTGCTAAACTGTGCTGGCAGATGGTTCTTGCCGTCTTTAGCAGCGTCCAGAGCATGGGCTTCGGTGGTGGGCAGACCCCAACCCCACCACCTTTGCAACTCCATGGCTAGTTAGAGAGCTAGGTTAACCTCCCTGCTCACTCACGTGGCGTCCACAAGAGCACCTGCAGAGGGAGGGGATCAACACAGAGTAACCTGGTTCTGATTTCCTGAAACTGCAGGGCGGTCCCAGGGTGTCAGGCTGATGGGGAGGAGACAGCCCACCTGTAAGGTGGGGGACCCAGTCGTTTCACTTCCTCTAGCGTTTGTCAGTTGCCTACCATGTCTTGGGCCTGGTCTAAGCCCTTGGCACACATGATTCAGTCCTCAGAACAACTCTGGGAGGCGGGTACTGCTACTACCTGTATTTTACAGATGAGGAGAAGTGACTTACCCAGGGTCACACAGCCTAATTCCAGAGCCCACGTCTTAACCGTGACACGCTGCCTCTGAGGAGCAGGCCTTGATCAAATGCCTGCTTCTGAATGCAGAAGTTGGCTTCAAAACTCCCCTCCCAGCGTGAGGGGGCAGGGCCCTGGAAACCATAAAGAAGTCTCCGGGTCTCCGTGTGGCTGCAGACTCATGGTCGCACCGCCACGTGGGAGAGAGTGAGCATCGGCCTATTGTGCAGAAGAGGAAGACTGAGCCCAGGAGGGCCCCACGGCCTGTCTGCAGGCGAGCACGCTGCGGGGCCAGGAGAGAGCACAGAGCGAACGCTGTAAATGTGGTCTTATTCCAGCCTCATCAGGCTGTTACCCCAGCTTCACAGATGAAGAAACCACGGCTCAGGGAGGTGCAGCATTTGCCCAAAGATCCCACGACAAGGAGCTGGGATTTCAAGCAGTCTCCTTGAGTTACTTGCAAGGAAAAAAAGAATCTCTGCCTCCTTCCGTCCGACTCCTTATTCCCACACACAGACACTGAGACCCACACATGTTCCTTCCACCCCGAATGCCCCTTCTCCTTCCCAGGTCTGTGGCCCCACACGGAGGCTGGGCTCTGGA